GAATATTATAGCTTGGGTAATGGTTTACCGTCACATGAAAGTGTGTTGACGGGCTTAAAAGTTTTAACGACAGCCGAGCAACTGAAAGGCTGCCGAGAAACTCAATAAACAAAATTCCGAGGACACATTGTCGTCGTGCTACGATTTCTACAAAATTTCACACAACACACTCCTACGTACAATAACTAATAAGAGCTTTTAAACTTTCGAGTTCAATGATGCTCTGAACGCTTACTAAAATTCTGAAGATAAAAAACATTTATGTAGCCTGTTTGTCGAGAGCGCTTATTATAATGAAAAATAAACCTTTTTTAGTCTATATTTCGATAATCACTTATTATCTGAGATAGATCTATGTAGCAGAGAAAAAATCTTATATATGTTACAAGAAGTTTTCTCAACAGCCAATTAAACTTAAAAATGAAGGACTATGTATATACAGAACATCCTAATTTCAATAGACATCCTTTAAAGCATTAATTTTTATTATCAACTTGATAAAAGTTTCTTATTTTCAGTATTAGAGAGAACCAATGTCTTAAATAGAGACTTACTTTATTTTTAGAATTAAAAAATATGATTTTGTAAGTTGCTTAGTTTGGTCTAATTACGAATCTATGAATTTTCGAAATTACGAATAAATTCAAACATAAAATATAACATAATTTATCATATAAAATAAAACATAATTTTTTATAAATTGCATAATTAAAAATATATTCGACTAGAAACGCTTTGTACAATGGAGTTGAAAAAATAATATATAAATATAGATATATATATTTTTGTATTATATAATATACGATGTATAATGAACAGATCAAAGCGAGTGAATATTGGAGGAATGTGCTCCGTAATCAATGGTTGTTAGTGTTACAAGGAATTGTAATAGTGATAGTAATTCTCACTATTACGTTTGGATATGAGCATAAAAAAGATATCGCTGACAACAGTCCTGTGGCACTCTGGCGTTCGATTATTGAGCGATTACAAGAAACCACCATCGACATGAGAACGGAATTACAGTTAAAAACAATTATTTCAAAATTCTAATACACTATTTTTTATTTCAGTTTAAAAAATGGAAATTTCTTTAAATTATTCTATCTCTCAATTATTTCCTCTATCAAAAAACACTTCTTGTAATAGTAAATAAATCAATACAACTTAAAATTGAATTAAATCTTATATCATTACAGATCTTGTTACAATACAGAAGTGAATACTCAACAAAAGAGAAGAGCGAGCATTCTAAAGCGAAGACGCATTTTTATGAATGAATAACTGACGTTTTTGTAAATATAAGAAAAATTAAATAAATGTCTCTGTCCTTGTACAATACAAATTTAGTCCATTTCTTGTAACTTCTTTTAATAAAATGTCAGAAAGAATTTCAGATATTTTAAAAACTGTAAAAATATAACACTAACAGATGCTATGTATGCTTTTGTTAGAAACATCAACAGTTTTATTATAATGACTTAATTACATGTTCGTGACATATATATAAAATATTTACCAACAATTTTGTCATTTATAAAAAAAGTATCAATTAGATTATTATTTTCTTAAATTTTCGGCTTTGTTATCTTCGTGTCCCTCATAGACATAATCACAATAATAAAGTATCACTTCCATTGCTGTAAAATAAACCAATTGGTGCTAAAAATCAATGATTTTGATTTCAACTAACCATCGTATTATTTAAAATTCTATAATCCAATATGAAATAAAATGCTATAATAAAATATTATTAACAAAAAATATTATTTAACAAATATTATTAACAATATTATTAACAAAAAAATTTTCTAAATTTAATTAATATTGATGAATAATATAATGACAGGAAAAATTTACTTTTGTAATTGAAAAAGCAGAGCTTAATTAAATAATCCCGACAATCAACTTAACTAAATTGGCTCTCATATTGTACGGACTTTAAATTGTGTTTTACATATTTTTCCTTCAATTTTTTAACCAGTTATAAAAACTGTATTATCTGTTTGAAACATATGAAAAACAAATTTACACAATATTATTCATTTTATATCTCAAATTATAAATTCCTAGCGTCAAATATTTCCAATTAGGAAAAACCAAGCCAATTAAAAGATGCCAAAAAACGATGCAGCAATTAATAATATATTTGATATTTATTTTTATTTGATATATATTTGATATTTATATAATTTTAATTAAAAAACTAACAGAAAACACACAAATTATAAAATATAATGTTAATAATTTTAATGTATATTCAACACACAAATCTAGAAATACGTAAACTCACTTTGCGGTTAATTATTCAAACTTTCATCTATCTACTAATTTAAAATATTTGGTTAATGTATACGAGCATATTCGAAAACACAATAAAGTATAATTTTTATATATTTTGATAATATTATCATTTATGCTTTCTGCTCTGTAACATATAATAATATCAATCGTTTAAGATTAAAAATTAATAAATTCTCATTAAAAATTTTTTTTACATTGTATCTATATTTGTATTCTCCTTTATTTTTCAATTCGCAACTTTCTCTATACAAAGAATTCCATGAAGAAAAGTCAATATTTTGGAAAATATCGATTATTTTAAGCAAAAATATTCATATAAACGTGTATCATACTCCGAACGGTTTCCGAAATTGAATGCACAGTTGCAAAATTACTATTAAAAAAAGAGGCACTACTTCTTTTAATAATTTATTCTCCAAGTGATACATTAAAAAAAAATTTTACCGTTCCAACTATCTCGGGAAACTATTCGGAATAGGGCATACGTAAATAAACATTTTTGCTTAATGACCGATACCTTAAATATTGACTTTTTCTCATGGGACACTCTGTATACATGGAAATCCAAATATATCTGTATCAACGTAAATAAATTGTCCGTTAGTTAAATAAAAGTAAATCAATCATCCGTTAAATTGGATTAATATTTTTAGTAACATGGTGCAAAAACGCTTCATCAAACTTCTACAAAATATATACATATTTTAAAATGTAAACAAAAGCGATTAATAAATGCTATATAGAAGATAAAATATAGGAACGTTAATAGAAATTAGTAACTTTGCATCACTTTTAACATTATATAAAATACTGCAGACCACAGAATTGATGTTTATTTTCATTTGTATGTTACTTATTTATTACTTCATATTACTTCTGCTGACTAGAAAAACCGGGTAAAAGAGAAAACTGGGAACGCGATATTAAAACAAGCAGTGCATGCTAATGCACAAACATGCTAATAAAAATTGCCACGCTGCAATCTGGTTGTCTATGTTGACTTCTTTAGCTGGTAAAAATGCATTCAACGTTTCTCTAATGTTCTGTATTAATTTAAAAAAAAATTTACAATTCTTGGTAAAAAATAAAAAGTTACATTATAGGATTACATTAGTAAATTTATTTTTGGAATTATTTAAATACAAAAATGTCACTAACATGTGATTATGTGAGTAGAAAGAGATTTCAAAAGAGGGGCGTATTGTTCCGCTATATACAATATTTTTATTACTTTGAAAAATATTACAGAAATAATCATCTGCATTTTAAAATGAGATATTTTTTATCGTCAAGATAACAAAGAACTCGTTGTTTGAAGATTGTTTCAAAGAACAAAATATATATTTTGAAATTCTGTATCCACATAGAACTTCCAATAGAAAATATTATTTTGCTATTTTTTAATATGTATTTTGTATGCTTATATAAAATCGGACATACATACAATCAGCGGAAATCAAATTAATAAAAATCTTATATTAAATTTTTTAAAGTGTATAAATATTTTGATTATTATTATTATTATTAGGCGTTAGGAACTCGAAAGCTCATTGTCAAACACCAAATCCCGCCACTGTTCCCGTTCCTGAGCAAGATCCCTTCATTTGTGACCCTCGTACCCCATTTCGTTAAGGTCCATTCTAATATTATCTTCTCATCTATGTCTTGGTCTACCCAATGGTCTTTTTCCATCCGGTTTACCAATTAGTATTTTATATGCAGTTCGATCCTCATCCATACGCGCCGCGTGACCCGCCCATCTTAATCGACGCGATTTTATGACATTAATAATATCCGGACTATTATATAATTGATGTAATTCTGCGTTGTGTAATTATAAATATTTTGATATTACTAAAAAATATATATACACTTTAAAAAATTTTTTATATTACGTGTTTCGTATGTAAATTTCAAAAACATAAATTTATGCTAATACTTACGTTTACATTTAGATCAGATTCTTGGTTTACGCATATTTTCTTGTATCATATAAAATATCTCAAGAGGAGAAATCTTGTGAATTTATATGAATCATGTAGATTTATATTAAATTTCGAAAAACATCGATCGTACTTCTGTATCCATATTCACAGTTTAGCTCATACGCTGTCGCGGATTCCTGGGTTTTGCGTGCGACCAACATCAGCACTGACATGCCAATAAACAAGGTGTATCCAAATCGCGATGCGAAGGAATATGATACATCGTTCGCTGTCTCATCCGAGAGATTTATAAACGTATGTCGCTATACCGAGGTTATATTCTGAGTCACATATGACATAATGTCGAAAAATAAGAAAATAGATTATTTTGATAACAATAACGATCAGGAAGACATTCAGTGGTTTGAAAATTACGAAAAAAAGGGCACCAAACATCTTGAGAGGCTGAAAAATGAAGATATATTAAATTACATTAAGGACGTTGAACAAAATTGTCGCCTTGAGATAAGTAGTGGTGACGAGGATTATGCCGGTACAAAAAAGTCCAGCAATTGCAGCGTAAGGTGTTCAGGTACACGATTTAAATCATTAAAAAAAGTCAAATCTAGAGTAACAAGAAAAAATAAAAATATAACTTTAAAAAGGAAGACAAAACGATCGTCCGATCATAATACCACGCGTGCTTGCAATTATTGCTGTTCGGCGGGAGAATTTCATTTTCACAGCAATCCTGATTTTACTGTTGAAGAAAATTCAAGAAGAAACCTAAATACTTTCACTAAATCTGCCTATCAACATCCAAATTTATCAAAAAATTCCTACAAGCATCAAGCAACTTTACCTACATTCCACGGTTGGTATTCCAGAGAGAATCGTAAAGGGTGGCCAAAAATGGCCAGCCTCGAAGTCATCAAAAACCGATCTCAGAACGCTATTCACAATTCCAGAAATAACAAATCAAAAATTACCGATAGAAAATCTGCAAACGTTCATACGTTTAAATCATTGCGCAGGGAAAAACTTGACGACTCAACTTACAAAAGTTATCCAAGTATTACATCTAATGAGAAAACAACAGAAAGAAATTCTCGTTATAGTGACCGCAAACAGGAAAGAGAAATACGGATAAAGAAATTAAATAAAGAAAGTGACATCAGCGACTTTGTAAATCAACAACCACTTAATAAAATTTATTCCTGCCGAGATATGGCCTTCTCTTATCAAACTCCATTGCAGGATGGAGACTATGATAGATATTATACTTCAAAGTATCCTGTAAGGAGACCCAGACAACCGACTACTTGGGATTTGAGTTCGCGATCCAACAGGTTGACGGAATTAGCGAGACTGCCCGAAAGGAGCTCGTTACTGCAAAGGCAAACTTCGCAATGGGTGAATAAAATGGGGCCTCCTCTGAAAGCGTTTAACTCCATTATAGGAGCATCAATCGATAGGAGTTACCACCGAGAGATGAAACATAAGAACAACATGAATCAACAGCGACGAAATCCAAATGTTTTAGGGGAAAGAGAGCCGTCGTGTTATTGCAGGCCCGGCCTGTTAAAGGAATCTGGAAAACTGTGCCAAGTGGTACGCACCGATGAAGATAAACAATGGCTCGACTATTCTTGCGAAAATGCCGAGCAGGATGAGACGATGGGTTACTTGAGATGTTGCTCAGAAAATGTAAACGATTTCATTCGACCACAATATGAAAGTCGACCGAGTACAATGAATAAACGAGCTAATTACACAACACTTCGCAGAACATTATCCGAATCAGTACAGTCACAATATAACGATGAAGGAGAATCCGAGTTCAACTTATCGATGGCAGAAGATTCACAGATTGAGGAGTATGATAATAATGCATTTGACGTCTTCGACGATGCGAGAAATATTTACGACGATGCGATCGACGTGAAATATTTAAAGCCGCGCGTATCATTTCCGGGCGATCCGGCGCTCCGTGACTCGAATGAAGTGGCTCGGGAGTATAAGAAATCGAACAATGATTTAAAGCGTAACCAGGGAAAATCGATGGCAACGCGAACGACGTTACAAAACAAGATTACCACGCGATATCCTAAGAATAAGAAATCCTCTTTTGCGACAAGAAAACCTGTGTCGGGGGATTCTCCAGAATTAAGATACGATGCAGCAGAATCCACATGCGAATGTAAGGAGCCTTTCCACGATTCTCCGGCGTGTTTAACTGGTTCTTACACCTGCATCGGAAATGACGAGAATGCAAAAAGAAACGACAGTGATTCATCGCGCAGGATATCTCATACGGTCTACAACTGTTGTTGCTCCTGCTCGTCATCTACCTCTCACGACGAAAAGGATCCTGTAAAGAAACTCGAGTCTTTCTGCGAGAGAGTAAAAGCAGTAAATCAAGACATATTCCATAAATCATCGAAATCCACTTGTCGCAAACTAACCAGGACCAATGCGCAAGAATACGTTCACAGTGATAGCGACGAGCAAAATCAATCCGAGTTCAGCACCCAGAGAGTCAATCAAAGAGCAAGATCTACCGAAGGAGAACAGTTAGCGAATCATGCTTGTTTGAGGCTTAAAAAGCACAGTCACGACGGAGACAATCTGGACAAGATTTTTATTTATCCGCCGCGAGGAGAAAACGGTCCGCCTTTGACGCTCTACAAAAGATCGTCGAATATTAGCTGTCGTGTGAAGGGCGATGCCGATACGGGATTTCGCTATAGCGTAACGTATGTGCAAAAATTTGTAAGCCCATCGTGGATGCCAAGTTTGACGCCGGAGGATCCTTCATGGGAAATCGATGAAGGATATAGTTGTTCTGCCGATTACGGCTGAATCAGCGGTGGGTTCAATCAATTTCATCCATTCGAAGATGAATTTGCTCCGGTTGCAATCACACGGAGCAATTGCGTTAATGGAGATAGTATGGATACACTTTCGTGCCATTCGTAAATCTCATTTTACCTACTCAGACAGCTGTATGCATAAATTGAATCGGTCGATGTAAAACAGCTTAACTTATAAGAGAAAATTATTTTAAAGGATAAATTATACGCTTCACACAATTCTTTATTTTAAAAAATCTAATGCTAAATTACTAGTAAATCTTCGGTCCACAAAAATTGGATATAAGATCTAAATAAAAAATATATTTGTCGTGTAATATACAGTATATTACAGTCACATCGTGTAATATATAATATATAATCAATAGATAGAATATACTTTTTCTTTGTAAATATTTGTGCGTTGAATTATATCGTGGCACATTTAAAATACATTAAATTTATTAATATAATAATATATTACCGTAGGCATTAAATTTTTAGTTCACCGTTTAATCACGTAATGTATGAATAGAATATTTAAATATGTATAGTGATAATTTTTTTACATTTTCTTTATTTTGAGAAATAAACAGATTTGTAAAAGTAATTAATTTAAAACGCAGTTATTTTTTATGGAGAAACTTTTTACAGTTTTATGAAGAGATTGTAAAATTTATATTATTATAAAAAATATTTATTATATGTGTATGTAAAACACTGAATATGTACGTAATAGTGTTCTTTTTTATTAAATAAAGTATAATAAAGTAGACCGTTAAAATGATATTCGCTAACAATTGCAAGATTTTTTTACGTAATATCTCCCACACAAGTACGTAGGTACGTATGCAATTTCTCCTCTCGAATACGAAAAAGCAAATTTTAACAAAGATCTACTATCTAAAACGAAATGAAATTTTCTTGTGCAGTCCTACTACCAGAGGCAGTGCATTTGTGAAAAGCTCAGCAATCAAATCGGAGCTTTTCCAATGTAAATGCGACATAGATCGAAATGACTTTTCTTGTTAACTCTCCTTATACACTTAAGAAAGTAGTACATTATGCATTTCACCAAGAACATTAGCTAAAGCTTTAAACTTAATTTTCCCTTCATTCAGATATGTAAATATTTACAATTAGTAAAAGCCATAAGTATTTTTTTCTTTATATTTTCAATGAAAAACATCTTTTTTGCATAAAAGAAAGATCTCAGCTATATACAT